CACACTTCCGTAACCTTATGACACCGAAGGAATATATGCTCAATATTTTCAGAATGTATCTTGCAAAAAAAGCAAATAGAAGGCAATATTTGCAGCCCCATCCGGCTTAAGATTTCTGGAAATGGCAAGAGCTTATTATGCAACCTCCATATAAAGAAGGAAACTATTAACGGAACCTGCTTTGTCCAAACCAGCCGTAGCCCTTCCTCCTCCATGCGCCTGTTTCGCATAACTTCATAAGAAGATTTGACCGAGAAATCTCCTTTAGGGGATGGCTGCCAAGCCAACACATCATCACCTTCATAGAAATCCTGCTCAAAATTTTCAAGAAAAATTCTAACATGGTTAGCAAGAACATTATGAAATTCTAACAAGTGTTGCTTATTTTCAAAAAACTCCCGTCTAGCAAGCTCTGGAATAGGTGGTTGTTGATCAACATCCCATATCACTCCAAACTCCGCGCAATTGTCAAACCAAAACAAGCTCTCCCCTCTATGAACCATAATTTTAGAATGACTAGTAGCCCTTTTCTGAATTTTGGAGATGTGCAACCAAGAAGGTTTTTTCCTTGCAGTGTTAGACAAGGATGTTATAAACGTGCTCCACAGCCCCGTTTTTGTTTTGAGTTTCCACCACTGTTTAGTCATCAAAGCATCAATCATTCCTTGGAAACCTCTAATTCTCAAACCATTTTCAGAAGTCAGATAGGTAAGCCTCTCCCAAGATCTCCAATGATGCCTATTCTCATCATGAGCTCCATTCCACAAAAATCTTTGACACTTCTTCTCCATTTCTCGTAGTACGGCTTTAGGAGGAGGAATAGCTTAAAAAACATGTATTGGTATTGAGGACAACACTAAACGACCTCCTGGACTTAACAACCGGAATGTTGCAGCTTTGCGCCTTCCACGAAATAAACGACACCCTAAATATACAAAAGATAAGGAACCTTTCTGAATACCCAAAGCGCGATTAATGATTCCAATCCTTCTAACATGGCAATTCTCGGTCACCATAAATGAGCTCTTTTGGCAATTGACTCAACTGATGAGGCGCTATTAATCGTTCATACTCTTCATCTTCATATTCAATTACCGCTATACCATTTACAAAAGAAACGGGCTTGATAAGAGAACCTTTTTGGGAATTATCAACCGTTGGCTTATGAAATAAACTTGCAAAAGTGGGTGGAAGCGCAGAGGGGGCTGCACCCGAATGATTCCCGGCCATGGTGGCCGGAAATAGCGACAGTTTCGGCAAAAGTAGCGGCCGCGAGAGAGAGAGAGAGAAGAGAGATGTTAAAAATATTAATATATTAAATAATAGCTGATATTATTAATTGTTACTAGATTTATATTTTACCAAGTCTTTTTTCCAACATTTCAAGTCATGATTATATGATATTGACATGACATATATTTACGTAGTTTTTTTTCTGAAAAATTATTATTTTAGTATTTTTTCAACTGCTTTTGTTTTTGTATTAGTCCTGACTTGGGACTAGATAAATTTTTTTTATTTATAGATATTCTTAATTTATCAATTATTAATTTATAGATGTTCCTGAATATATTATTAGTACTGCCAGGTGCTATTTACAGAAAATCAATATGTAACTAAAAAAATGATATATTTTTATTATGATTTTGTTTTAAGATGGAGTTTTTTTTTTTGGGTACAACTATACAAATTAGGAGAAGAAATATCTTGTTAAAATTTTTAATGAGAGATTGTATCGAATACGGATAAGCAAAATTTTATTGTTGGAGCCAATCCTCTTGAATTTAGGAGTTAATTTTAGGAATCAATTTTTTCATGTCTTTAAGGATTAGTTTTATGAATTAACTATTTGTTTGATATTTTTTTTTCCTTGTTTTGCATGGAAGGTTGCTTTTTTCACTTAATTTTAAGCAGAAAAATAAGTTTTCTGCAATTCTCATAATAGCAACATTCAAAAAACCGGTGCTTTAGTGATTCATGATACATATTACATAAACAGCAAGCAGTATTCTGTACTTCAATAAGACAATTCTGCTATCATTCTTTAGTCCAAAGTCTGTCCTTCCACATAAGCCAAACAATAAAAGAGTGCTTTGGCATATTAAGTCTAGACCATATCCACTGAGTCTTTTCTTTCTTTTCTATGCTTCCAATGAACCAATAGTAACCTTTTGAGATGGAATACCTACCAGAATGATTGAATCCCCATTTTACTCCATCATTGCATCCTTAGCTTTGTTTCTCAATTGCAGTAGACGATTCCATTGCCAACTATTATCTGCTTTTGCTTGAACATCCTATATCCCGGCATCCTTTAGGTACAATTCATGAGTCATTGGCCCATAAATTGTCCTCCTTCAACGCTATCCATTACAGTTGCTTCAGTATGGCTGCATCATTCCAAATTCTTGCATTTTTTTTATATTCAATCCTCCTTCAGTTTTTTGCGACAAATTTCAGCCTAGCCAATCAAAGCTACATACCTAGCTGAATCATTCATCCCCAATAAAAATTCTTTGCAAAACCTATTATTTCTTTTGGTAATATTTCTAGGAAAAATAAAAGTTGAGGCCCAATACACATGAAGGTGAAGTAATACAAAATTAATCAATTGAAGCCTTCAACATATGACATTTTCCTGGTACTGCAAAATTTAAGCCTCCTAATGATTTCATTCACCAAGTTCTAACAGTCTGGTTGGTTCCATTTTTTCAGTCACAGGAGTACACCCAAAATACCTCATAGGGAACAATCCTTCCCCTAACATAGTAATATCAACTATTTTTTTACTAAGCCACTTCGGCGCTCCACCAAATACATGTTTGACTTACTAGTATTAGCATATAACCCTGAGGTTTCCAAAAATTTCTTTAACTTCTCCATTATAAAATTAATAGTAAACAAGTCAGATTTACAGAACACCATGAGATCTTCAGCAAAGCATGTATTCGTCATCTTCAAACATCTACATTTAGGATGAAATCTCAACTTACGGGGGTTCATCTACTTCTTTTAGTTGTCTGGTTAAGTTTTCCATGATAAGCACAAATAGCAACAAAGAAATAGGATCCCCATGTCTTAGTCCTCGTTTCCCCTTGAAAAACCCCACATTCACACCGTTCAAATTGATTGAAGGTTGGTGAAGTTATCTAGCTAACAAATTTGAAAGTGAATCCAAACCTTAAAAGCATTCTTTAACAAATCTCCATTCTACTGAATCATAACCTTTTCTTAGTTCTATTTTCATTATACATCTCCCACCGATGTTTTTGGCTCCCGTATAATCTAACGAGTTCTTGTGTAATCAGAATATTATGTAATATTAATCTATCTTTAATAAAATCACTTCGTTTACTGTCTACTAGTGCAGACAATACATCACTAATTCTTTCACACAAATCTTTTGAAATACATTTATAAACAATATTACAACATGATATTAGTCTATACTGACTAGCATCCAACGGGTTCTCAGTTTTAGGTATCAATGCAATAAGCATAGAATTCAGTTGTTTCAAGATCTGACCTGTCTCAAAGAACTCTAGGATGGCAACTGTGAAGTCCTTTCCCACAATATTCTAAGCCTCGTTCTTAAAATCGCTACTAAATCCATCTAGTCTTGGGCTTTTGTTGGATTGGATTCCCATAAAGCCTTTTTGATTTCATTTTTTTTTGTGAATGGTCTTATTAAACGTAACTGGTCAGCCAGCCACTGATGTTTGGCCTCCTTATCATACACTACTTTCCTGCTAGCTCTTCCTTGTGATGACTGTCCCGATTGATTCTTGAAGAACTGTAGGAAATGCTCCTCTATTTTCTCCCACTCTGTAACTACCTCCCCATTGGCTTTAGTTATGCTCCATATCTTATTTCTCATTGCTTTCTGCTTAATTTTTGAGTGGAAGAATGTAGTGTTAGCATCTTGCTCTCTAATCCAATCTTCCTTAATTCATTTGCTTTGTTGAGCAATATCCATTCTTTATAAGCTTCGCTCTCCATTTTTTGAATTTCAAAATCACCTTGCTATTATGCTAACATCTACTAACAACTTTTGCAGTTCTTCTTGAGCCTTATACGTTTGAGTTTGAATTTTCATCCAACTTTCCTTTATTTAGCACTCCTAGTGTCATCTTCAATCTATTCAGTTTCTGGGCTAACTTATACATATTGGTGCTAATGGTAGGATCTTTCAGCTCTGTTGGACCTCTGTTTTGAAAAGAGGATCCAATTTCCACATTTTAGTATTTGGAAGGCCTTGGTTTGTGAGATACTTCTCCTTGTATCTGCATCATTATAAGTGTCTGATCAGATATTCCTTCATTCATTGCCACTGCCACTAATTCATTTGTTTGCTCTATATATCCACCAATATTAATCATTACCCTGTCCAGTTTTGCCAAAATTCTATCGTGGCCAAGTTGTTTATTACACCATGTATACGGTGGCCCTATTTGTCTCATGTCTTCAATGTTGCATTCGTAAATCCACATACAAAAGTTCTCGATTTCATTCAGTAGTACTGCTCTACCCCCTAGTTTTTCCTCCTCTTTCAGCTCATTTTTTAAGTGCCCAGCTAGCAACCATGGCATCTGTATACCATCTTTCAAACTTATGAGGTCATCCCTCAAGTCTTTTCTTTCTTGCCAAGCATTGTACGCTTAGATCCCAGTGAAATAGAAATGGAAGGCCAACACCAATGGCTGCACTTGACAATAAACCATCTGCTCATTACTGTCCATTATTTGTACCCTTACATTATCAACCCATTTATACTAATCCTCCCCTTGTTCCTTCTCTATAACTAGTGTATTGCTATCTATTACCCCAATACCTTTTAAAGATTTCCTCATGTTTTTCCTTGCTTAGCTTTGTTTTAACTATGCATGCTAATTCTATCTTATTTGCGGACAGGATCCTTGTTAACTTCTTTTGCTTTAAAGGGGCACTAAGACCCCTTATATTCCATACTAGTGGATTGCTCATTGATCCTTGGATCAGGGCTAAGAATATGCATAGAACTCTCCACTCTCTTCAGTTTCCCATAATGTTTCATTTCCCAAGCTATTTTCATGTGAGAACATGGTATTCCAGATGACCTGTTTCCTTGCTACTTCATCGCTCTTTCTCCCAATAACCATTGGGTAGAGAGTCTGAATGCCTTCCCTAGTCTGTCTCTGAGGCTGATTAGTTACTTTTCTCTGATTATTCTTACCAACTACCTTCCAATCTTCACTAGTTCCTTCAAGATTATTCACTTTTTTCACCCAAGTTCCTCCCCTTATACCTCCACTAGTCTTTAGTGACTTAGGATCATTCATGCAGTGCTCAGTGAAGTGACCGTAGCCCTTACAACACTGACACTGAATAGGTTTCCATTCGTATGTGACAGCTTGCTCATGCACATTCCCATTTCCATCTTCAAACAAGATTTTCTCATGAACTTGACTCTGAATTTCCATTTCCACCATTATTCTTGCAAACTGCGCCCTTTCCCTTCTACCAGCACCATTATTCTCAATTCTTGAATCCACCTTCTTCAAATTAGGGATTTGCTATTTCGCAAGTACCTCCAGATCTGCTTTCATCAAGCTTACCCGTTTTCTATCACTTTTTCCTCACTAACCATGTTTGTCTTCTTCGTATCATCCACAATTGTAACTTCTATGTTTTATTCATGGTTTTGCCATGGTGAGGTGCATTCTAGGAGGTTTGCTAACGTGCACCGAGAGAATGCATGAAGAAGAGAGAGAAAATTAACATCATATTTGTTAAAATTATAATTGAGAGTAAGAAGCATAAGAAGAGAGAGACAGTTATAATTATATTTGTTTGAGAAAATTATAGTTGAGAGTAAGAAGCGTACTATTAATATTAAAGTGATATTTTTAATGTTTTATTATAGTTATATTAGTTTTTACATAGTAATTCAATTAGTTATTTTATTTAGAAGTGGTCACATTATTTTTTAATTTTAGAATCATGTGTTTGTGAGAAAGAAGAAATATCTTATGTTTTTAAGCCTTCGTCCACCTCTCTAACTTCTAGAGTTCTAATCTCGACCCGAAGAGGGGTATATCATTACACTGGCTCTTTCTTTAAGTTCAGCCTTCCATGACAGATCGTTCATATCCCGACTCAGATAAGGGTATATGATTATATTGGTCCTTTCTTTGAATTCAACCATCCATGAAGGATCACAATTAGGTGATTCAGAAAATTTTTGCCAACTTTGCAACTAATGCATCAAACCCTTGGTAACAGTCAGCGACTAAAAATTCCACTACCCCACCTCCCAGCTTAATTCCTATATAATCAATTTTACATATCACTGCCACACGGTTGAAAACAATCGATAACCATCAACCCGCCACTAGATTGCACCAGAATTTAGCACTTCCATCTTTAGCCCATCACCAGCAGTTTCTACCACCATCATGAACCAGTTGTTTTTGCCAATCTCTTGCTTGGTCGTCCCAAAGTCGCCATCACCTCCAATCTCTATCCCCAAACAAACATCTCCACCAAACACCACCCCCGATCCTGCACCACTTCTTCCTTTCCGTATCACCAAACCACAAGGCTACTCGAGTCCATATCCATTCCATCACCTCATACAATTCCCTTACAATGCAAAACCAAAAATTCCTCTAACAATACCATCAAAGTTCGAGGAGCAAAACATTCCATTTCCAAAATTACTCATCACTCACCATCAACATGCTATTCTGTGATGAACCAACTAAACTTTTCTTTTCCTATTTTAGAAGTGTTGCTCGGATGCGTCTATTTGAACTAAGCTAATGGAGACCATCAAGCTATGGAAGAACAAGAGGATGATCATGCTAGAAAAGATGAGCTTGTGAAGGTTGTGAATATTAGTAGTGAACCAATTATGAAGAATCCTTATATTAGGGATCCAATGACTAACATTGTTGGCCCGATCACTCGTTCAATAAGATCCAAGACTTTAATATTGCTCTTAACAATCTAGTTGTGTTTACATGGGCTACTAAGATGGTCAAATATGTTGATTACAAGCCCAAGATTGTTAATGTGTTGCAAGTGAAATTAAATGGACTCATGGACCTAGATAGAGGTGCAACTCAAGGCCCGTTGAAGAGCCAAGAACCCATACCCGCGCAAGGGAGCATGCGCCCCTAAAACCCTAACTTAAGGGTTAAGGTTGCCAAGATTCTTTCCATTCTTACATAATAGGGGAGAATTTGGGTCATCTCCATATTTAATTATTTATTTATGCAAATAAATACTCTATAAGGCAGATATTGGTTGAGTGGAGCTCAAGAAAAGGAGATTACTTACCAAGACCTGGCGCAAGGAGGAAGCTTCTTTTTCTAGAATACGTCCTTAGTAATAGGATTTTTAATTTCTTTTCATACTTAGATCTAATGTATTAGGTCTATGGAAGAGTCAAGGTTTGTTTTCTTGGTCATAAAGAAAACTAGGAGTCTAAGAGTCCAATTTAACTTTGAATTCATAGAATTAGGGAAAATATCTTATTTTCTCTCTTGGAAATTCGGCCAACCACCCCTATAAAAGTGAGGGGTCGCACCTCGAGTTCAATAAGTAGAGTTGAATTGATTTTGTGAAGTTTTAACGTTTCTGAGTTTTTGTTCTTGTGTAGAGCAAATTGTTTGGTTGTTGCTTTGAGTAGTGACGATCTTTAAGACTTATCTTTCTTATATAGTTCGCTAGAAAGTGGCGTCTATGGCAGCGTAGTCTTTGGTTTTTTGATACTTAAGGGTTATAAATCAATATCTATTAGCTCTTCTAGTAAGATTTTCGAAAGGGGCCTTGCTGGAATTCAATAGTTCCACTCATCAGATTGAGTTAGGTTGTTGGTTCTTTTGAACTCATGAACTGATCCACGTGAGATCGAATATCATCCATGTCTGCGTCTTTGGTATTCAAGTAAGTATTGGAGTTTGTCATAATTCCGCTGCATATTCTTTCCAATTCAATATTCAAAGTTGAAACTTGTTTAAGCATTGGTTTTGATCTTGAGTTGCTACCATATTTTTGGTTATCAGAGCCATCTTTGGTGTATACCATCGTGGTTCTAAACTTGAATTGTGTGTCTTTCTTCTTTTTTTTAATTTTTTGGATTTCTCTTTCCTAAAAGAGGAAGTCTTAGTAAAAATTTTTTGAGTTGTTTACCACTTGGACAATTCATTTTTGTGTTCTTCATACTTATCTTACAAGATTCAAGTTTTTCATCATCGCATGTAGCCTTTTGGTCCATTCTTTGGGTTGATTGGTGTTGATCTTGGTGGTTTGGATTGATTGGTGGGAAGTTGTTGTGTTATTGTTGTTGTTGTTGTGTCGTGGCTACCGTCCAAAGAAGAAAAAGAGGGCACGGGAGTTAAACCCTAGCGCACGCCGCCTTGGTAAAAAAAAAATAGAGAAGAAAAAGAGAAAAGAAAAAGGAAAGAAAGACGAGGAAACTATCTTTATTTGAGAAATATTAGAAAGACAGAAATATATTTATTTGCTAGTAGGAAACTTACCTTGATTAGATTTATTCTTCTCACACATTAAAAAGGTAATTTCCAAATTAGTCTCCCTACATTAAATTTTCGGCCATATACCCGAAATTACCATTAGGAGACTTAAGGAGTAAGTAATCTTTATTATTTAAGGATTAAGATAAGTATTTTCATAGTAAGGACCCCAATTTTATCTCTGAAATTCTATATATAAGAACTTTAACTCTCTTGTATTTGTCTATCTCACGTGTTTAATTATTCTCCGTGCTATAGAATTGCTCTTTAAGTGGGTTTGCAAGTTAAGTTGACTGTCTTTTGCTCATTGTGTGTGACCTTGAACGATTGTGCTTGAGCTGGAAGTTAAACTACAAAAGGTAGAGGGGAAAAAGGCAAGAGTGCATACTATATTACTTGGGGAAAAGCCATAACGCCCATTTATTGAAAGAGTATAATTAGTTGGTGAGTGTCATCTATTGGGGGAATATTTGGTTAGAGGAAGTGAGGTAGGAAATTTGTTCAAATAATTTGTGCAAAGTTGTTCTTCAAAATGGTTCAACCGATGGACAAGGGGAAAGGACCCGAACAAGAAGTGCAAAACGAGACCCGTACGCAAGAAGCTCTATGGCAAACCATAGAATGTCTCACCATCCAAGTTGATAACATGACGATGGAGTTAGAAGATTTGCACACTGAAATACAGACACCTGAAAGAGGAAACCGCAACCAAGATGAAGGACGTGACGAGAATACAATCCATCAATGAGCGGGAGGTGGAAACCCTAATAATCCATATGATTTTGGAAACTTGAAGATCAAGATACTTGAGTTTCAAGGTACATATGACCCTGAGGCGTATCTTGGATGGAAGAAAAGGATCGAATGAGCATTTTCATTGCAAAACTATGATGATTCAAAGAACTTCCAAGTTTTACAACTATGTCTCCGAATGGTGGGATAAGGTTGTGAAAGATAGAAAGTTATATGATGAAGAACCCGTTACTACATGGGACGAGATGAAAAGACTCATGCAAAAAAGGTCCGTACCTTCTTATTATTATCGTGAATTGTGTAAACAGATTCAAGTGCTTACACAAGGGAACAAGACCGTAGATGAGTACCATTAAGCGTTAGAGACCACATTGACACGTGCAAACGTTAGAGAAGATCCTGAAGCCACCATGGCTAGGTTTCTTGGAGGTCTCAACCGAAACATTGCTGATGCTGATGTAGTTGAGTTGTCACACTATCTTGATATTACTGAGATAATACATAAGGCAAGGATAGTGGAGAGACAATTGTCAAAGAAGAATACCTCAAAATATTCATCTGTGTGGAAGAAAGAAGACGTGAAGAAATCATCCCACCTACAAAGACCGATATGGGAGGTAACTCTAGTATTCCTAAAACATCTTCAAGTACTAACTCTATTTCTAAACCTTCTGGAGATTACAAGGCTTCAAGTAGTACAAATAAGTCCCCTACTATTTGCTTCAAATGCGGAGTAAGAGGATATTATTGTCGAGATTGCCCTGGAGTCAAGGCAATGATGATTAAAGATGAAGAAGTCAAAGATCATGAGACCGAGGAGGAAAAGGAGGAGAAAATGCGCCAACCTGTGTTTGATGAAGAAGAAGATGATGAGGAAGAGACGAGGGTAGAAGATGGACATGTGTTCGTAATTCTTCAAGCATTGTCAACTCAAGTGGCTGAGGAGTTACAACAAAGGAACAATATATTTTATACGAAGTGTCGCGTGAAGGACAAGGTATGCTTGATTATCATTGATCCTGGATCGTGTACTAATGTTCTAGTTC